CTGCCGCTGTCTGTCTTGTCAGGACTTGACTCGGCCCCGCTTTGCTTCCCTGAAACGGTTGGTTCAAGGTAGCCAGTTCCATCGGGGACGAAGGCAAAAGTCCAAATGAGGCTGGCTTCCGCGTTTCACTCAAGAGTGCCCAAGGCTTTGCACGACGATTCGACGGATTGCGGAGAGGTCTTAGCATCATAGGGAAAAGGACATAAAGGTACAGCCAGCCGATGAGGACGATACTCCAAGATCACAAAACACACGCTATCACTGTATGTATTACACACCTTGGTCCCGTAAATATTAACGTACAATAAGAGGCCAAATTTATTACGCGAGTCTTTTGTTCGACATGGAAGACCCATTCCCTGTGAGTTGAGAGCGTTCTAACTCACCCTTGAGTCGACGAATGCTCATGCATTAGGTCCAGGCACTGTCATGGCCGTACGGCACACCGACTTGTTACGCCTGCAATCAACTGTTGCCAGCCAGCCTGCGGCTACAGCATTCGTTTGACATGGGAAACTATGGCCATGTGCCATCCTCACCGCATGCGTCGCCGACTTCCAGTTTCCCTGCCCCTCCAACACCAGTGGGCGGAACACTCGAGGCTCCGGTATGCTCTCCAGACATTTCATACATGTTTGACAGTCCCTTAAGTCTTCTGCCACCAAAATCACCAGTATATTCGCCTGCGGAGTGCCCTTCATTAAACTGGGCCATCGGCAATGGATGGAGTCAGAATCAGTTACAGCAAGTACTGCCATCTCCACCTCCAACGCCACTTCTGCTACCATCTGCCGACTGTGCAAGCAAAGCCCTGGTGGTATCTCCTTCTTCGGCACTGATTACGTCGCCCGCGTCTGATGGCGTCACGAGCGTGTCGCCATCGCCGTTCGGCTGCCAACCCGAGCAAACATCTCCTCAGACGCCCTTCCCACCAACTGGCGCTTCTAGGCCGGCCCACGGTAATGGGCAGCTGATTCTCCGTGATATGAGGCAAACGGAAGAGGGAAATGAATTGCACACTAGACTTCGTGGCATGGGCTTATCTTCATCGGAAATACGGATTGTATGGAAACGGTTGCATGAGGTACCGTGGGCTGAAATAGCGGAGGCGGAAAGCGCAATTGGGGACCTAGTCACACCCGGGACTCTCAGCATGAGACTTGTGAGGCTGAAGGACCGCCATCCATATCTGAAAGAGCTGTTCCCCCCAAGAATCCGGGCAGCACACAGGCGCGTCAGGTCTCCCGATAACGGCACGTTACCCAGTCATGAAAGAAGGAGGCGAGGAAAGCATCGTGATCAGGCTCAAGACATGATTCATGTCCATATAGCTTCGCAATAAATATTTACTATCATGAGTCTACTATCATGACAGGGGTGGGCAGTCACACAGAATGGAAATGAATAGAGAGCACGTGTAACGGCTATTGGCAAAGGAAATTTGGTCATGATTAGCTTATTCGCTTAGTTACTATGATGTTGTAAATAAATGGCGTCGGAGTAAACCTGCTGCCAGCGCAGTGGGCAGATGTTGACAGCCCATTTCGTTGGAGCCGTCATCCAGTTGCCGAACGATTTGCGGCTGGCAATACAAAACCAGTGCCAATCAGAACCCGGGAAACCTATTGATCCCTGTTTGCACCAAACCCCTCATTATTCGAGGAAACTTAAGAACTAATGTATAATATAAAGCCTTCGGCTGAACAAAGCCCCCTAGCTTTGATGTCATGTTCTACAATTGATCGTCATATTTACACAGCCCAACCACGAATGAACCACGTCAGACCTGTGCCCAGCCAGCCCCGCGGGCCGATAAAAGAACAAGGTCTTCACAATATCGATCAAATTAAAAAGTTTTTGACAACCTCATAAATACAGTACTTATTTACACGCTGCTTAATACATACTAATGAAACCACATGCAGGACTGGACAATACACCAGTCGAATTGTTGTTTTGCATATTCAAAGACTTGTCACTCGCACAACTTGACGTCCTGGAACAGGCTTGTGTCCGTCACCCGTTGCTCCATATCATTCGCCATTATTTTCATCGCCGCGTGGTAAACACATGCACTAATCCTCTACCGGAGCTAGCGCAAATCGGACGAGTCAAGGAAATTGAATACCTGGCTTCACACTCGGACCTTGATGTGAATGTTAGGGACATCGTAGGCCAAACTCCACTCCACATCGCGGCGAAAACAGGACACGCGGCTGTGGTGCGAGCACTTTTACGATTTCCAGGTGTTGTTGTTGACCGCAGGGATGATGATGGAGGATCTGCGCTGGTGTTTGCAGCTCAGCATGGTCACATTGGCGTAACAGAGCTGCTGCTCCAGCACGGCGCTGAGATAGATGGCCGGACTCACCGTGGCGAGACGGCTTTCCTCTGGGCGGCAAGAAACGGGCGCAAGAATGTTGTCAGCCTCCTGATATCTGAGATGGCCGATCCTCTCATCATGGATGCCGAAGGCTGGAGTGGCTTGGACTGGGCTATCATGGACGGCCAGGACGACGTCGTTGAAATGTTGCTTCGCCATCACGGCCACTTTCAAGAATCCTCGGTCCGACAAAACGAAGTGCTGTTACTTGCCGCCGAGTCAGGCAACGACTCGGCAGTCCGTATGATGTTGGCGGCTGGGGCAGACGTGGATTGTAGAGACGGCCAGCAAAGCACACCGTTACACTGGGCCGTGTCGTTTGGACATCGGTCTACCGCAGAGCTCCTTCTCGACGGCGGGGCAGATGCCAACTCGAGGGACAAGTATGGCAATACACCTCTGCACTGGGCAATTAGTTATCCAACCATCATGAAGCCCCTCTTGGACAGGGGCGTTGAGGTAGACATCCAAAACATGAACGGAAAAACAAGTCTCATGTGGAGCGTATTGGCAGAGCAGAGGGAGACCACCCAGATGTTGTTGGGCCGAGGCGCGGCCACCGTGAATGTCCGGGACGAGAATGGCTGCACAGCGTTGCATGGCGCTGCGGCAAAAGGCTGCAATTCCATAATAATCTGTCTTCTGGACAAAGGAGCAGATGTGACGGCGACGGACAAGGACGGATGGACACCACTTGATGTCGCGACAATCAATGGACACGTGGCGGCCATGGCCCTGCTGCAAGGCAAGGGCAAGCCAGCGGAGGGTATTGCGGCGGCACGCTTGGCATTGAAAATGATCCGGAATGAGGACACAGCGCACATCATGAGGGAGATGGCGCAACGCAAATTGACCGGGAGCGATGGCGTGAGTGGTTTGAGGTCGGCGGTGAACTGCAAACACGCCCATCGACTGTTGGCTCTGCTTGGCACTGGCGTGGACATTGACGAGTTAGACCCAGTGGGAGGAGCGACTGCACTGACACTTGCGGCCTGGTTTAACGAAGAGAAAATAGCAAAATTGCTCCTCGAAAACGGGGCTGCCGTAGACGCGATGGATAGCGACGGCCGCACCGCTCTGCACGTGGCTGTCGAGGGTGGTTATTGTGACCTGGTAGCCTTGCTTCTTCAGAACGGTGCAAACGTTGAGGCCAGGTTTTGTGGGTGGACGCCACTGTTACTCGCGGCAAAACGGTTATGGGACGACGAGGCCGGGCCATGGATGGTGGAATGCCTATCTGTGCGGGTAGTGGGGGCCAATCTCGACGCGAGGGATTACTTTGGCCGCGCAGTACAGCACTGGTGCGCTGCGTATGGCAGATCACGAGTTCTCACCAACCTCACGCGCCTCGGCGCAGACCTCGATGCCAGGGATCATTGCGGCCAGGCGGCGCTGCACATAGCCATTGGAGCGTCCCATGTGGACACCGTGCAAGCGCTGTTACAACAAGGCGTAGCCCTGGACGGCCGGACCTGTGATGGGCTGACACCGGCCCACGTCGCAGCCTACACTGGCCAGCTCAACGTTTTGACGCTCTTGGGACATGCCTGTAGGTGCATACGCGATCACCGTGGAACCGACAACCGTGGAACCGACAAGACTCATCATCATCTAGGAGCCAGGCTTCGGCTAGACGCAAGAGACGTGGATGGGTACACTCCGCTTACTCTTGCCCTTCTCACTGGCAATCTACATGTGGCGCAATTCCTTCGCCAGCTCCCCGGAGGCGGCGAGGGCGACTTGCAATTCCGCAGCAGCACCACATATCATGAAATTGCCACACGCTGCCCTCCCTCCCTCCAACTGCCCACAGAAGACGAAGACATAGATGTGAGCCACGCCAGGGAAGGCTCATGCCCGCGGAGGCCTTTGTTCGGCGTTCATGTCCGTGAGTGGCTGCGAGATCAACACAAGTTGGTGGGATTAGAGACTGAAGAAGTCTAGATATGTCCTCCGCTTCATCAAGCGGCATGTAAGCTCTCAAGAGTACGTCGACCACGCAAGGACTCTATTTCTTGCTCTCTCCCTTTCTGTCTCTCTCTCTCTCTCTCAAAAAATTTTTTTACCTCCACCTTGTCCTCACCATTGGAACGAGAGCAGTTTTTGGCGCAAACACCGTTACTGCAGCGTGACAAATTCGACCCCTTTCGGGTGGCGCATATGGTGTATATCCAGCCAACTACGCATCCTCCGCATCCCCATGAATTCTTTTCCCACAGGAGCTACCAGGTTAAGGGTGTCAATGTAGTAACCACATGTATGTATATTTACTATGCTCATTTGGCAAACAGACCAGAATTCTAAGCATGAGGAAATGTGCATTGGTCTCCTCGGCAGTGATGGTGCGAGCCATGCCCCTGGCAGCACAACACGCCAGCCTACCGTTCCTTAGACAAAACGGCGATCATATGTTTTAAAGATGGCATCAAGCGTAGCGTCCCTGTCCTGTCCTTCTATCCAGACATCGCCTCGGTACGGTCTGCCCGGGCAGGGATCTTCTACAGACCGCAATATTTCAGAGATCTTTGCCGTAAAGCTTTCGCTCCATTTCCTCTCTTTCGCGTCATCATCCCAGTGTAGCTCAAAGCGAGCTAACGCTTCGCCGAGTGGCATGGCACACTGGTCCTGCAGCTCGTTCATACGACCACCGCCTAGGATAACAAGAGCGTACATCCTCTCCCTCGCTGGGTGGCGGCTCGGGACCTCCTCGAACGCATGGTACAAATCATTAAACATGTCCTCGCAATTAGGTCTCACCCAGTAAGAGATGGAGGTGAAGTACGACCTGTCCATCTCGCGCTTGGTTGAACTTTCAGTCCAATAGTCCAGCGGGTTGTTGTGCAAGTCCTCTTGAGTGACATCGGCCAGCCTCGTCGGGTCCTTCTTCAGGTGATCTGAAGCGGGTATCAGCCGCAAATCCAGCAGACGCCTTTGCTGCCACCGAGAGGTGTCATCTACCAAACGAAAAACTTCTTGGCCCAAATGTGTCTCGAGAACATTGATGGTCGCCTCAGCTGTCAATAAGCTGACAATGTTGAAAGAACAGACTGGTTCGGTCGTATCCGGTTCGAAATGAAAGCGAAATGACACGGACACGTCTCTCGGCAAGCCTAATGAGTTTGCAAAGGCGTTGTTTCTGACGCAAGTCTCGAGTTGCTGTTTGTCAATCCGTATAAATCTCCAAGCTGCTCGGCGAGGCTCGTCGATAACTCGAAGGTGGATTTTCGTAACGACGCCAACCCCCGCGGCTGCTCCGCCTCTCATGGCGTATAGTAGCTCCGCATGATTGTCACCCACCTCCAAGACCGTTCCGTCCCAAAGAACGACCCTCCCACCGACAACAGACTGGCAGCCGAGACCAAGACGCCGGGCAAGAATAAGATCCCAGCCGGCGGTAAGGAAATGACCTCCTGCGCCAACTCCGAAACAATCGCCGTGAGGCACCGCTTTCTGGTTCTTGGCCAGCATATCAATGGTCCCCGCGAGGAGACACCCGGGCTCCAAGAGCAGCGTGTTGTTGTCGACTCGCCGCCCGGTCATAGCCGAGAGATTCAACATCACGCCTGTGCAAGAAGCCCCATTGAAGTAGCCATGGCCACCACTTTTAACAGACAGCGGGATTCTTCCGTATAGGCGCAGTCTTTTGAATGCCCTCAGAGTCTGAACAACCTCACCCTCATTTTTGGGTGACACGACGAGACGAGGCAGTGGTGCAGCGCGATCGTGCATTTGAGCATTGGTCGGCAAAAGCTGCCCGCGCGTATGATGCACCTGAATATTTTGCCGTGAAAGTAGTGCGGACAATTCGTTTAGATCAAAGTTGTCACAGCCAACGCTAGTCGTGCACCATTGGCTCTGAATGTCACTGAGGTTCGCAGCATCGCTTGCGTCGGGATTGACAACGGGCGATGGCGTGGGGACTGCACCAGCGTTGTCTTGTCGTTGACAAAGCATCGTCAAAAGTGAATTTGAAAACAAGACGAAAATAAATGGCAATCTCACGTTCCACTTAAGTTTGCTCTTTGGGGATCAAACCGCACTATATACATATTCGACGAAGTCCTGTGACGTGGCGTCCTACGGCTAGACGATCTGTCAAGGTGCTTAGCAGGGCCGTTTTGTGCTGTCAATCTCCGTATGTCACATACATGTTGATCTAGCTTAATGTTTGTACTATTTGGTTACTGTCGACCAAAAGGGATGCATACAAAACACAACCAAATCAGGACTGGTCGGTCTGTCAGTCGTGTTATCAATGTGCGGAACAGCTTCGCTCTGGAAAACCATCGCTCACCCATTCTTACGAGTCAAGTTAATTCTGTTATGCCCCACCCTTAAACTACATGTTATTTACGCGAGCGTTGATCTTCGTGTTGACATTGCAGACCTACTGGAGAAACACAGAAGTCGTGGCGGGTTCCACCCTATGCTGACTCACAGTCCGTGAAAAGGGCGAAGTTGTTGTGCCACCTTGCTTTGACCGTTTAACACAATCACCCACCATCATCCCGCTGTGTATATCGGGCTGAGTAGCGACTGCACCTCCGTTATGCCTCCGGCTCTCCCCGCCACTGCCTGTGAAAGGCCTCCGGCGTGTTGATTCAACTAACTAGTCCCTATGCTTTCTACTATCGAGATGAAGAAGAGAAGGAAGTCTACATACGCCGTGACATAGAAACAAAGCCATATATCCTTCCAATATGCCTCCATAGAAGGCTCTAGAATCAACCCGCCGGGGGAGTTAGTGATAGCCGGCACAGCCGCCGTCCAAGAGGCTGGGCCCGTTACACTGCCTGTCCTTGCCGCTGAATGACGGCGCAAGTAAGGCGGTAATGGCAGATGAAAGCAGCCTCTCAACTTGTTCTCATCTATTTTGGATATCTGTCTCACCTTCGCTCGCTGCAAGTAAGTTTCGATACTATAGACCGCGACAGCGTCAGCAATGCCTTAACGTATATCCAGGTGTTGGAAGCGCAAGGCTTCTAATCGGGTGATAATTATCACGGGTTATTGGGTTCTTCGTAACTATTGTTGGTGCTTGTGTTGAATTCATCTATCTAGAGGTAGCGCTCACCCAAACTGGTGATGTTTGAGATCTGTTTGAGATCAACCACGTGTGGCCAATTAGAGGCCAGCATTCGCTGCCTTCCACGCCCACAGCGGCGCTGGCAGCAACACCAGGTATGAGAGGAATTAAACCTACACAAAACCAACACTGGGTACCACGTTGTTATTTTCTTTGGAGAGACCCGATTTATTTACAGAACGGACGCACGTCTATTTTCGATAGCCATCCGCAGTTTCCTGTTGTTGTCGTGTCCTTGTCATTGCGATCAGGTCATTGGGGACGTACATAACTAGACGACGTGCATTTGAAAAAGGTATCGTGATAGCCCTGTGGCAAATGCCATACGTTAAGAATACCACAGTGGCAATCCAACTCGCCTTCAAGGATGGACGGCGGGCCTGACGCGTCAAGGGGATTACGCGTGTCCATACCTGCAAGTGTTGGGGCGGCGACGTCGCAACACCTCACGTGGTGGGATTCTCGCATGATGTGATACGCAGCTACACCCACCAATAACCGAGCCGTGGGGGAAAGCCAATAAACGTCCACAACCAACATGTCAGTGATGAGTGACTATATTTCATCGGGGGTCAAGCAAAGTGGTTAAATGCCGCCCTAATGCCACATTTGGACATTCCCTCATCGCGCTTGGTCATGTCTCCCTCGCCATGCCGTTCCTCACTCAACTGGAGGGTACTGCGGCGATGTCTCTTCGTTATCACTCTACACAACGTAATTATCAGAGGAGCATCGAACAGCGCAGTTGCAATTATAAATGGGGGGATGTGCTACTGAAGGTCGCTCTGCGCTCGAACGTGATACACCCCCACAGATGTTGCCAACAAGCACAAGAAGAGGCACATCGTGCCCATCCTACTCCACGCTTAGTTGAATTACAGCTAGATGAAAGACGAAAAAAAGAAAAAAGGAAAAAAGGAAAAAAGAAATTCGCTCACTTCGTACGCGTAGTTGTGCGAAAAATAATCCATAACCGAGAATTCCCCAAACGAAAATCGACCCGATGATGCGCCCTATGCCAGACTGCGGAGGTATGCTGAACCCATTCCAGTAGAGAGCTAAAAACGCCCATCATGGCAAAATTCAGGACGAGGATAAACTCAGCCCAAGCAACGTGGGAGAATACGAACAGTATAACAGACCCCGTGTGTAGAAGATTGAATGCAATCACGTACCAGCGTACACTAACTATCCCGTCCACGTACGTGATATTCTGTGACTTCAATGCGTACACCGTGCAGAGCAGTTGTCGAACGAAGAGGTTGAGCCTGTATCAAAGACATTAGCCGGGGGAATGCAATCTATGTGACGGGACATGAGATTCCAACCAGAATATGGTTCCCACAACGCTGTCCATGGTGAAGGCTGTAGGATGCAAGTGGTTTTGGTCCATACCGGTGTGAATCGAGTATTGTTGGGTCGAATTACCGCGCAATAGACCAATGCCATAACGGATAAACTCCAACTCATGGCGACAAGAGCCAAGGAGATAAGTGCCTGTCTCCGACGGCATCTGGGCACTTTACTATCCACAACATCTGCTTTGTCGTCAGCCACTCACGGATTTATGGACTCCCATCCGTCGTTCCGGAACACAAACTGCTGTTTGGCTTCTCCATCATATGGAGTCTTTATCATGCAATATTCTTCAAATATTTATCAAGTCAATGAAATTGCTTACAAGGTACTCAGGTTTTAGAAACCGATACGTAGGTATTCATACCCCAAAAGAGATGCAAGCGGTATGGCTGTTAAACAGGCACCTTATGCAGTATGACTCACGGGGTCTACTGATGGGAACATGGAGTGTGATATGTATGAACATTTGTACACACTGTAAGTATTAGGGTCGAAGTAATCAGGGTAGAACACATTACTTACGCGAGAAGCGTTGTCAGTCGGTCTTTTTTTTTTTTTATTGGCGAGACTGCGACGCCATGGTTGATACCGCGAGGTGAAACTGTGAGGTTGTGTGTCAGAAAATGCGTCTGTAGACTGAAATCGCATAGCGGGGTGTAAGTGCTGGTTGTCATGGTGTCGGCTTATCTTGACTATACTTAGCCGAAGAACAGACTGGGACGAAAGGAAGTTTTTTGGAA